GGAAGTTGGAAAGATGGTTAGCTGTGATGGTAGAAATAATTTGTTCGGATAATATTCGGTTAATAATATATTTTCTCTTTCGGCTTAAGATGTTCTTTCTTCTCGGTAAACGCGTTGTAAATGGTGTTCATAGAGTATCTGTTGCTTCCCTGTATTTCAAATAAAATTTTGTCTTTCTAATCAATGTCTCCAAATAAGATGCACATCGATTGTCGTAATTTTCTTCGATATTTTCATTTTAGGTGAGTAGTGTCATTGTCCATAGTATCCATTCTATGAAAACCAAACTTTTTGTCAGCAAGATTATGGTCTGAAGGAGATAATTTGAGTTAAATAAGGTAAGGGCGATGATATTCTTGATTACTTCCTATGGGAAACAAAAAATCTAGAGAAACGGCGAATACAAGAAAAATTGACTTATGGGACCAACTCCAAGGTATTAAACATCAAAACAAGACTGCAACTAATGTTTTATGTACTCAAAAATATTTTTGAAAAAATATACAATCATTGCATATATATGTTGGCCTTAAACGTCGTTGGAGATAACCAAAATGCGACTATAACTTTATTTGAGGATGCCGCAATGGTGTACGTTGGATGTCCTATTAATGATTACATCAGATCAATTGAGCAGGTGAAATATATTCTTACATTCAAATTCACATAAATAGTCAAGTACAATATTTATTAAACACTTACTTTTCAATGCTCATTAGGGGGAAGAATTATTTGAATATTATAGAGGGTTGAGCTTACAGTCAACAACTCAATTTCAATTCCTCATTCCAGTCCATGATAAGTTGTTCAACTCAAGAGGAGTATTCAATGTAATGGCAAAGGCAATTGCAAGGCCGCAAACTACACATGATGAGGAAATAAATGATAATCAAACAATTTTTTTAGACATCCCTAATGATTTGCATGTGGATGAAGAAAAATCGTCAAAAAGGACCAAGATTAGAAAGAAGCGATCAATCAACAAGATAATAGAAGATGAAAATGATTGCGTTATTGAAGTTGAACATCATGAGACAATTAGTACTATTAAGATGTTCAAGAAAAAGTACAAAAGTAAAACGAAAGAGAACATCTCCAATCGTCAACATAAAGAAGGAGAAGAATTGAAGCAACATTAATTTGTATTAGTTTTATTTAGTTAATTCACTATTTTATCGACAATTTGTTTTTGCATAGTAAGTTATTTGATTTTTATTTTAATTTCAAAACCATTCTCTTTCGAATGTTTATGCATTGGTAATTTCATATAATATTTCTATATTATTTCTATATCTACATATGCCAATAAATATAAGTCAGTACAAAATGTCACGAAGAAAATATAAAAGGTATTGCAAATGATATTGT